TATTAAAAATATTTTAATAAATTTAAAAAACATACCATACTTTTAATATATAATTTCAATTATAAAATATGAATGTTAAATATATTAAATACAAGGCTTGAAACTTTTACTTTACTACAAAACGATCATTATTTTCACAGATATTCCTCCAGTTTACCAACACTTCAGAAATACAAATTCACAGAGCATTATCGAGAATTAAGACTTTTATATTTGGATTTGTTGTCACTAATTATTATTTTCTTATAAATTTAATAATAATAAATTAGAATAAAAAAAAAAACAAAATTTTCTTCTTTTAAATTCCTCCCCACTTAATTTAACATTTTACTCTAAAATCTTCAACTTTGAATTTTAAATCCTTTCCCATTGCCACTAATCATTGTTGATTGGGAAATAGTTGGTTCTGATAGCGCATTACACTTTGGCCAAAAAGAAAGTTTAATGGATTGACCTGGGGATTCCAAATATAAAAAGGTTAAAACTTTAATTTGATCCTTCAACTATTAATGGATTTTTAAAGTGGTTTTTAAGCTAAAAAATTTTTTAATCTAATATTTAAAGTTTTTAAATTTAGTTCTAAATTAATTATGTTGTATAAAAATAGCTAACTTATCTTCATTACTAATATAATATATGACTATCAAGTAATAGGTTTTTACTATTAAGTAACAAACATGTTAATGGTTCTTTAAAAGAAGAATTAACTTATAATTAAATTTAAAAGTTTTAAAGACTAAATCAATGATTTTTTTTAATTTAAAAATTAACTCAAAAATTTATACAATAATTGAGAGATGAAATTGGGGTTTAACCATATAAAAATTGAGGGTTTTTTTTTCAACAAAAGCAAAAAATCTATAAAAATGAATAAATTAATTAAAATTAGAATACGAACAAAAAATAAAATTTTAATATTAAGAAAGTTGTTTTTTAATAATTAAAATTATAAAAGTTAATATAATTTAAATTACATAAAATTTTTAAAAAATATTTTATAATTTAAATTATTTTAAATTATAAAATACTAATTATTTAATAAAAAATATTCCCTATATACTCTCTTTTTATTAAACTATTCTTATTTTATAATGTAAAATAATATAAATTATAAAACAAATATTTTTTTATAAAATTGACATTTCAAAAAAAAAAAAATCAGAGGATTGAAAATCAAGAGAATACGGCCTAGCCGTTGCCGTATGTATCATACTGGACGACACAAACTTCAAGAAAAAGTGTGACGTATGTAATAAAAAAAAAACAAAAACGTGACATTTAATCAGTGGATACGAAATTAACAACAAAACCCCAAAAAATTTTTCATTTTCATTTTCATCATCGATCGGCCCAGTATAAATGACCCGGATCCAGGCACTGTTTCAATCCTCTTTCCTCCTCCGTCTGTAGATCTTGCAAATTTCAGAAGACCCCAGATTTCTTCCGTCCCCAGAATCTAGGCTCTCTCAAAGTTTGACCAAGTTCTGTCTTTTTCTCTCTCAAAGTTGATTACTTGGTTGTTATAGATGGTGGGTTTTGAAGGGATTTGAAGAATTTCTGGTGGGTTTTTGTGATTTGGATGAGAGAGAGGGTTGTTGGGGGGTGCACGTGTGTTGTGATTCTGAGGAGGGATTGTGGCTTGGTAATTAGGAGCAGGTCTAGGTGGGGAAAATGTGGCTGATTAACTGAGGAAGTTCTTTTCTTGTTGAGTTTTCTTTCTGTTTCTAGGTACTTTTCCTTCTTTGAAAGAGGATAAAAAAGAAAAGGAAGATCTTTGAGGAATCTAATTTGGGGTTTATGTTCAAGATGCAGCAAGATCAGTCAAAGAAGGTTGGTATCTATTTCTTTCTCTGTCTCATTTTTTTACAAAATTATTATTGGTATTTTTAGACTGTTGAACTTGGGAAAGTTAGGATTGTTTGATTAGCTGAGGAAGTTAGAACACTGTTCTAAATTTTTAATACTATTATAAATCCACATCCTTAATTAATTTCTCTTTTTTTTTCTTTCTTTTTTTCCATGCTTCAGGACCTAAAAGACATGGACTTTTTCACTGAATATGGGGATGCCAACAGATACAAAATTCTGGAAGTTATCGGGAAGGGAAGCTATGGAGTTGTTTGTGCTGCTATTGACACACATACTCGAGAGAAAGTTGCAATAAAGAAAATACAAGATGTTTTTGAGCATGTATCTGATGCTATTAGGATCCTGCGAGAAGTCAAGCTGCTGAGGCTCCTTAGACATCCTGATATTGTTGAAATTAAACGCATTATGTTGCCACCTTCAAAAAGGGAGTTTAAAGACATATTTGTTGTTTTTGAGCTCATGGAGTCTGATCTTCACCAAGTCATCAAAGCTAATGATGATTTAACTCGTGAACATCATCAGTTTTTCCTTTACCAGATGCTGCGTGCTCTGAAATACATGCATACAGGTTTAAATTTATTTCTTTTCTTATTGTTATAATTATAATTTTTTGGATTCCAATTGTTTCTGTGGATCCTTTGTTTTATTCCTTTACATAATAAATTTTTAATTAGTTTCCCTCATCTGCGGTTTGATTGTCAACTTTTTCAGTGCCATTGTGTTTAACACTCTCCCTCACTAGTTGGAGTGAATTCTTTTCCGTACTCTTCTTTGCCTAGCCTTGATATCTATATCTACGTTTATTTTGAAAAGTTCAAAATTTCTGATCTTTAGACTCTTCGTTGCAGCTAATGTGTACCACCGTGATCTTAAACCGAAGAATATATTGGCAAATGCAAACTGCAAACTTAAAGTTTGTGACTTTGGGCTAGCAAGAGTTGCTTTTAGTGATACTCCAACCACAGTTTTTTGGACGGTATGTTGTTTTAGCATGTTTCCTGAGACTAAGGTTGGTTTTGTTAATTGTTTTAGGAAGGTTCTGTTCTGTCTCTGTACTTATTTGTCATTTCCTGACATATTTTACAGGATTATGTTGCTACAAGATGGTATAGAGCACCCGAGCTGTGTGGATCTTTCTTTTCTAAGGTATGACTCACCTACCATGCCTGGCCTTCTCTTATTTTTTTCCTAATCAGATGGGACGTGGTTGAAGCATGGTTTATATTTGTTGTCAAGTGATCTACTTGCATTGAAGATGGATTCCTGTGGCACATCATCA